CCAATCAAAAAAGAGAACAACAGACCAATCTCCCTAATGAACATAGTTGCAAAAATCCTCAGTACGATATTGGCAAACAGAATACAGAGGCTCATCAAGAAGATCATACAGTCCTGACCAAGTCAGACTTGTCCCAGGGATGCAAGGATTCAACATACATACATACATATGTACATACATACATACATCATTAAATGTAATACACTATATTAGCAGAGTCAAAGACAAAAACCATATGATCATCTCAATAGATGCAGAAAAAGCATTCAACAAAATTCAATGCCCATTCACAATTTTAAAAAACCTGCAGAAAACTGGAATAGATGGTCTTTATATCAACTTGATAAAGTCCATCTATGAAAAACCAACAGCCAACATCATATTAAATGGCCAAAAACTGAAAACCTTCATGCTAAAATCAGGAACAAGACAAGGATGTCCACTATCACCACTCCTATTCAGTATAGTTCTGGAAACATTACCCACAACAATTAGACAAGAGAAAGAAATTAAAGCAATAAAGATAGGAAAGGAAGAAGTTAAAATTGTCATTATTTGCTGACAATATGATGCTCTACATAGAAGACCCAAAAAACTCCACCAGAAGACTTCTAGATTAATTGACAGATTCAGTAGAGTAGCTGGATACAAGGTGAACACTCAAAAATCAATAGCCTTCTTATACACAAATAACAGACTCACTGAGAGAGAAATTAGGAAAACAATACCTTTCAAAATAGCACCCAAAGGAATGAAATATTTGGGAATCAATCTAACAAAGGAAGCAAAAGACCACTACACTGAAAACTACAGCACTCTGAAAAAAGAGATCAAAGAGGATATTAAAAATATGGAAAGATAGCCCTTGTTTCTGGGAAGGAAGAACCAATATAGTGAAAATGGCCATACTTCCAAAACTGCTATACAGGTTCAATGCAATCCAAATTGAAATTCCAACAGTATGTTGCATAGAACTATAGAAAATAATCCAAAAATTCATTTGGAACAACAAGAGACCTAAGATAACAGAAGCAATTCTAGGCAACAGAGGCAGGGGGGTTTCACAATCCCCAACTTAAAACTATCCTACCAAAAGCCACTGTGATAGAAACAACATGGTACTGGCAAAGAAAAAGTCCCCAGAATCAGTGGAATAAATTGGAAGATACAGAGACAACTCCTGATGTATTCAGCTACCTCATATTGACAAATGAGCCAACCATCCTCAGTGGAGGAAAGATAGCCTCTTTAATAAGACCTGTCATGTAAAAGTACAAGATCCCAATGATGAATATAACTGTACTATATACCTAAAATATACCAATAAACTCAGTGAGAGAAAAAAATTAAAATAAGAAAGTGCTGTTGGACAAACTGGATTTCAACTTGTGAAAGATTAAAACTAGACCCCTATATTTCACCATGCACTAAACTAAAATCCAAGTGGGTTAAAGATCTAAATGTTAAAACAGAAACACTAAACTTCTGCTGGAAGATAAGCTAGGTAGACATTGGCATAAGAAAAGACTTTATGAACAAATCCTCAGTAGCACGGGAACTAGCACAAAGAATCAACAACTGGGATCTCACCTTTTGAAAAAGCTTCTGCACTGCAAAAGAAACCACCAACAAAGCTAAGAGACAACCTACAATTGGGAAAAAAATTTACCAGCTGTTTCTCAGACAAAGGACTATTATCTAGAATATATAAAGATCTAAAAAAAAAAAATCAGGCTTCCCAAATATAAAGACCTGATTCAAAAATGGACATCTGAAATGAGCAGACATTTTTCAAACAATCAAGTAAAAGCAGCAAATAAATACATAAAGAAATGCTCAACATCACTGGTCATTCAAGAGACGCAGATGAAAACAATACTGAGATTCATTCCACCTCACCCCCAAACGAACAGCAGCTGTCAAGAAATCAATCAATAACAAATGCTGTCATGAGTGTGGGGAGAAAGGAACCCTTCTTCATTGTTAGTGATAGCACAGACTGATGCAACCACTGCGGAAATCAAAGTGGAGATACCTCAAACAACTAGGACTGAAAGTCCCATTTGATTTAACTATTCCTCTGCTGGGTATCTTCCCAAAGAATTAAAAGAATCACACCACAGTGACATATGCTCACCTGTGTTTATAGCGGCACAGCTTGTAATAGCTAAAACTTGGAAACAGCCCAATTGTCCATCAACTGGAGACTGGATAAAGAATATGTGGTTCTTCTATAAAATGGAGTATTACTCAGCCATAAAGAATGAGAAACTAGAGACATTTGTAGCCAAGTGGATGTACATTGAGGACATGCTCTTAATAGGACACACATGTAAATACTGTATAGTTTCTCTGCTGTGATAAACTAAAAGTATAAATAAGGGTCAAAATGTATAGTTGATATTTTGTAATAGGAAGTAAAGGTCTAAAGTTATTGGGCAAATGGGAGGGGTAGGAGAAAGGTAAAAAGTGAAGAGAAAAAATAGAAAAGGAAAAAATGTAAACAAAGTCTTTGTAATAGGGAAGGGTGCAGGGGGAAAGGGAGACTAGGGGAATGGGGAAAAAATAAGAACCAAGATATGCCATGTAAAGGTACAAGATCCCAATGATAAATATAACTGTACTGTATATCTAAAATATACCAATAAAATATCTTTTTAAAAAAGTTTATGTGAGCAAAAACGACCCATAAATCCAACTGGGCTCACAACTCAAAGATCTCCACCTAACAGTGAGAGCAGCAAGTTTTTATAGGTGAACAGGAAGCCATGTAGAGAAACCATTTGATTGGTTATAGGCAGTGCCTACCTGATATGGGCATGGTCTGATCAGTTGGCTGCCTGCAATTGGCTAGAGCCTGGCGGTTTGTAATTGGCTGAAACTCAACTATATCTTTAAAAACCTAAATTAGTTTTGATCTGTTACTAGGAACTCAAAGTATGGTCTCTTACTTATTTAACTTAACACATCTCTCTCTATATTCTTCATTTGGCTCCTGGAACCTGATTCTTCTTCGTCTCCCTCACCACACTGGCCACACCTTTTCAGTGTCTTTTGCTGATTCACCTTCAAGTCCTCAGCCTCTAACCTTTGGTATGCCTAGAAACTCAGCCCTCAAATATTTCACTGTCTGCGTTTACCCTTTAAAGGGTTTCATGAAAGTGTATGGCCTTAATGTCACCTACCTGTCATCACTGCCAAATGTTTATCATTAGTTTTGTCCTTTTCCCAAAACATACTGTAGACTGATAGCCTCGATAGTCTGCTCAACCCCTCTGCTTAGATTTTGCAGAGATTTCAAAAATTATCACTTATGAAACATCATCTAGTTCACCACCCACACCCTCTTTGATTTATCTTTCCTTTACTCCTTCTATCTAACCTATCAGCAAATCCCATCTGCTCTACTTTCAAAATATGCCCAAACCCAGGCATATATCCCCACTTTGACTGTTACCACTCCAAAGGCACATTAGTTTTATGAAAGTTTCCAGCTGGTCTCTCCTGTTTTTATCCTTATAATGATCTACTTCCAGTAAATGAAAGTCAGATCATGTCTTTTCATTTCTCTGAACCCTGCGGTGCTATCTCATTTAGAATAGAAGCCAAAGATGTAACTATGTCCTACAAGATAGTATCTTGTAGTCTCTCAACTATCTCTTACCACGTCTGTTATCCACTCCTCCCTCATCACTGTGCTGTAGTACACTGGCCTCTTTGCTGCTAAATGGGAATACCAAGCTCACTCTGTCTCAGAGCCTTTGCACATGCCCACTCTCAGAAGAACGAATTCAAAATGCGAGATGTCTTCATGCGATGAAAATAAATCATCTCTAACTTCATGCAATAGTGGAGGTGAACGTCACAAATGCAATGTTGATCAAAAAAAGTGGCAACTTGTGAATCTGCTTAAAGTTGAAAAAAGAAAACACACAGGGGCAAAACTAATATACTTTTAAAAGCTGGGAAGTAGCTTCTCCTTCAGAGCTGGAAATAGACATGGCAGGGTCACATGGGCAGTCCTCTGCTTCTGGTTCCAAGTGCTGGCCCCACGGATGTGGTCAGCTTATGAAGATTCACTCACGGCAAGTGCACATTTCTAATGCGTATAGTACATGCCAACAAGAGGTTGTGGGTTTTTTTAAAAAAACTATTCCTGTTTATTCCTAATTTCCAAGGGAGAAATGCAGTTTCCTGCATTCCCACGCCTGCATACTGCTCTTTGCCCCACTTCCTGGTCAGCCCAAAGTCTCAACCACACAAATTAGTACATCGTCATGAGAAGTCTTCTGCTTTCTGATGTTCTGAGTACTTTGACTGGATTTATGTCTCTTCATTTCTAATCACACTGAGTTCCCTTTTGTAACTAAAATATTTAACATTTGGGGTAAATTCTTAGTGTTTTTAATCATAAAAGATAACAACAGCTACCTTCTTGTGGTCCAGGGTCTATGCAGGTTCATAATATGTAGTATTTTATTTTAATCCTTTCAACAATCCCGCCAGTCAAGACAGTTTTGCCCATTTCACAGATGAGGAAGCTAAGGCTCAGAGAGGTGAGAAACACTCCTGAAACAGTGCTCTTTCTGATCACTCATGTCATATCTCCAAGTGGCTCATTCTGCGAGCAGTTCTATTCTGTTTAACAGTTTTCCTTCGAATGCTTTTCATCCCCAACCAGGAAGGCAGGGCCAGATGGCTCACTGCCACATGGGTCTGAGCTATCTAGAAGCTAACTGATACAGGAAGTAAAGGCAAGGATATCTGTGCTGAAAATCCCAGGGTCTGATCCCTAAATTCTCAACCCCAAACTGCACAGGAAACCTCTCATTGCCCAGCAAGCCAGGGAGGCTTTAAAAGTCCTGGTGAGAGCTCTGAAATCAGACCCGGGCAGCATGTGTCCCTGAATATCAGAAGAGACTCTATATTTACCCTGAAAAGCCCTTTAGTGCAACTTAGAGCTATAAATAACCATTAGGGCCCAAGCAAGTGGCCTTAACACATGGCTTTCCTTCCAAAAATGCAGGTCCATTTTAATTAAATTGGTAATTAACCTTTGGGGAGGGAAAGCCCCCTGCATTTGGCCTGCTTTTGGAGACACCATGAGTAATTTCCTATTTGTTGAACTTTGGGGGATTAGCAAGCGGGATGGTTGTTTAGTCCTGAAGCAGCCTCTCCTAGGAGCAGAGTCAAGCTCCCAGGAGAGGAGAGGCTCTGTGCTTGGAGTGAATGCACACTCTGCAGCCTCAAGTCGGCCCCCGCCCTAGGCATCACAATCAGGGTCTCTGGAAAACCAAACCTTTTCACCCTGTTGTGCCCAGAGCAAGATGGGAATCATGGCTATGCTGATGCTGCCCTTGCTGTTGCTGGGAATCAGTGGCCTCCTCTTCATCTACCAGGAGGTGTCCAGGCTGTGGTCAAAGTCAGCCGTGCAGAACAAAGTGGTGGTGATCGCTGATGCCATCTCAGGACTGGGCAAGGGTAAGCTGCCTGTGCTCTGATGCATGCCTATCTCTGCCCAGGGGGGACTGGTAGTGGCAGGGTGGCAGGATGGCATGTGGGCAAATGTGCTAGGTGCTAGGTGGGAAATCCTGGGATTTCTCCCGGCCTCTGTCACTAATCAGCTTGTTAATGAGGTTTATCTTTAAGGCTTCAGCTTCTCTGCCTGGTAGATAAGGGCACTGGAAAGTGTGAGGGTGCAAGCTCATAATCTAAGTGCCAACACAGGTCTACGGATTTGGTTGGTTTTGCTTTCACTCACAGTGTTTCCGGGAACTTTTAAATGCAGTGCCCTCAGCTGGGGCTGTATACCGATTGCGAGCTCAGACTACAGTTCTGGGTTCAGTTCCTGGCTCCAGCACTTGCTAACTGGTTGGTGGCTTCACTTTTCTGCCTGGAATTTCTCATCTGTATCGTGAGAATCCTAGCCGTCTCTACCTTTTAATGTAGCTGTAGTGGGTGCCACTCGAGAGTTAGTAATGATCACAATGTAGAATACATTCAAGCAGAGTATGCCTACTTCTGTGTGCCACACACCCCGCCACTCTCTAGTATGTAATGCTTGGCCTGCTTCCTTCTACCATCTCACCTCCTACTCTTGCTTGCAGCCCTAAATTAGATAGTCCCAGGGGTCATTCTGGTTGCATCTGTGACCTGAGGAGTAGTAAACTTCTTTTGGATTTGCAAGATTCTGACTCTATCTTTGCAAACTGTGATAGTGCAACCCTACCTATTGCATAGTTTGGGGATGACTTTTGCTTTTGTTATTTTTAATCAAGTACAGAATGGACATAGTCAAGCATTTATTAGTCACTCACCAAATGCCTATAGGTCTACTTTGCCCTGGCCATTGCTCCTTCCAAAGTGTCTCTCTGGAGGGCTAGGTGTGGCCATTGTGAGAATATTTGTGACCTCCTCTTTGAGAATTTGCTAGGAACCTTTTTTTTTTTTTTTTTTTTTTTT